GGGCATATCTTGTCTCGGTCGCATGGCGCTGGACCAATTCGGCCCTCTTCGCGGTCGACATGGTACCACACGCAATTTTCCGCACCCTCGCCCAATCCAAAATGGGTAACCAAGGTATAGATCCCACGCGCGGATTAGAAAGTCTATCGACGTGCGGGTGGGGCATGCTTCCGCGACGTGGTGGCATGTCATATGACCATGGGTTTAGCGTTGGGCGACTTGGGCTTTACTCCAAGTGGTTAGAATATCCCTGTAGGTTCAAGTCCACGTTACAGCGGCAAATTTTTATAGTTATATAAACTAGCCTATAGTTAAGTATAAATTAGGGTAATTTAAGTAAGTAAATATAGTTTTTATTACTATCTTTTTTAAATATGTTCTAAACCTATTCTTAATAATATATAGGCGTTCCTAAATACTATACTAGAGTTTAGTATAGTAGTACTAGATAATATATCTAAACTAGATAGTAATATTAGAGATAAATTTAGGCAACTATATAAAGTGCTAGAGGAGGATAGTAGTAGTAGTATTAAGGAAGTAAGTAAAAGTAAATAGAATAAGTTTAGAATAGGTTAGTAATATATTATAGGGGTATAATATATACCTTACTTATAGTAATAGTTAAGGACTACTACTTATACTAGTAATTATTAAGTATATAGCTATTCTCCTAGTATACCCTTAATTATATAGCTAAGGGTATAGGTATATAATACTAGTTTAGTAATATAAAGATAGCTCTTACCTAATAAGAGAAGAGGTGCTTATATAGGCTATATAGGTAATATATTAAGAACACGTTCTTAAATTATTCTAATTCTAGTAGGTATAATACTCCTGCTAGTCTATCTATCTTAATAGGCCTACAACTTTACTATTCTTTAATAGCTAGCTAGTAAGCTAGTATAAATACTAATGCTCTAGGGTAAAAGCGTGTAAGTATCTTAAGAATATGTTATAAATATGTTCTTATTACGTTGTTAATAATATATTATATAATTAGATCTAAACCTTAAAAAGTATAGTACCTAAGAAAATTCTATAAAGAGAACTATAAATAAGAAGCTATTATTATAGCCTTATTAAGCGCTTCTTTTTAAGGATTTATAAGGACTACTAGGTGTCTTATTATCCTATAATAAAGACTATAGTAAATTAGGTAGGGAGCAAAACTTAAATATATTTAAAATATATTAATAATAAGTTAGTAAATTATAGAATAGGCTTAACTATATATTAGCTATTAGAACTATAGCCTAATATCTACTACTAGGAAAAAATATTATTTTAGTTAGGTACTACTAGAGGTAGACTCTATATATCTATAAGGTCTTCTAACTAGGGAGATATTAAATCTTTCTAGTAGTCCTGCTTTATATCCTGTGGTTAAGCCACAGTTAAGCTAGATAAAGAAGTGTAGTAGGCATATTATAACCTATTCCTAACACGTTCCTAATATATTCTAGGCGTTAATTATCTATAAGGGTAAGGATCTCTATTTAAAATCCTATATAAAGTTACCTTTTAAGTAATTATACTAATAGATATAGTAGTAATACCTTTTTTTACTATTATTTCTTTTAGTATATATATATATATACCTCCTCCTCCCTTAATACTATCTAATAGTAATATTAAGGAAGTAGTAAAGGTGTTATAGCCTATACTTACTCTATAGCTTATATAATATAAGTTGTTTGCAACCTGTTATAAATATATTCCTAACTTATTATAGCCTAGTTCCTAAACTTAACCTAGCTCTAAACCTATCTCTAACTTAAAGGTTTTTATTCTATTAAAGAAATATATATTAGCTTTATAAATAAAGATAAAATCTTACGTATTATAAAGTGTAAAAAGCTTTTATAGTTCCTATTTAAGAGTAGCCTTAGAGAAGTATACTATAAGTAGAGGATAAAGTATTAGGATCCTAAAACTATATATAGTGTAAGAGAATAGGTTTAGAATATATTACTAACACGTTACTATAGGCGTATATATAGCAAATCTTTATATTAAGCTTAGGTAACTTAATTATTTACCTTTTTAAAGAGTAGGTATTAATTCTATTAGATTAAGATATATTCTAGATAGATATATTATATAAGAGGTTATATAGGGTATAAGTAGAGATTCTAATAGTAATCTTCTACTTATAGGAAAAGAAGCGTACATATTAAGAATAGGTTTATAACATGTTTCTAATATATTATAGTTATTACACTTAGCTAAATTATTATAGATAAGGATATAACTAAGATATATTAAGTTACTATTACTAACTTCTTTTAGAAGTATAAAGCACTTATAAAAAGATAAGTGTTATAGAGGTATATTTACTTATAGGGATTCTATAGGACTACTATTAATATATATAATAAGTAGATAATAAGCAAGTTTTATAGCGCACTATAACCTATTTATAACGTGTTTCTAACTTGTTTCTAGGACTTAAGTGCTATCTCTAGTTAATTAATCCTTATAAGTATAACTAGCGCTAGCAACTTTAATCTTATATAAGATTTTATTAAGTATATCTATAAAGAAGTATTTATAAAGTATATAAAAGAGAGCTAGATAATACTACCTCTTTATATCTAAGTAAATTACTACAGGTATTAATAGTAGAGGAATACTTTTAGCTTGCTAACCTCCTCTTACGTAAGTAAACATATTCTAAACCTATTCTAAATATATTTATAACTTATTCTTATATAATTAGAATATAAACCCTCTAAAGATACCTAAAACTAGGTAATCTATAAGAAAAACCTAGTAATTACTACTAGGATTATATAATACTATAGTAAAATATTAAAAGAGGTATAGGAAAAACTAGAATCTTATTTAAATATAGCTAAGCAAGCAGGCTAGAAAGGATATAAAACTAGTAAGCATATAAGTATTCTTAAGGCCACTTAGAAGTAAGTTTATAACCTATTCTTAACCTATTAGAATTATATAAGTAATATTGTGTAGTGCACACTAGATAGATCTATAGGATATAAAAGAGTTTAAAGCCTAGAGCAAGTTTAGAATACGCTATAACTATAGAACTCCTAATAGGCTTAAGCAAAGGTACCTTAAAAAGCTTTAGAGGGGAGAAAGTAAGTCTTACACTAGTGTTATGCATATTTACTAATTAAAATATATTTAGAACGTGTTTAGAACGCGTCCTATAATAATAATAATACTCTAGATAATAATAAAGCAAGTCTTGCTATATCTAACTTAACTAGATATATCTTAGTCCTAATAAGAAATAAAAGAGCACGCTTAAAAGCCTAAAGCTAGAGGGCAAGTAGTAGAGCGGTATTAGAAAGAAGTTTACTAGCCCCTTTTCTATCTTCTCTACTACTAGGCTCTTCTCCTCTACTAATAGTAACCTAAAGGTATGCTTTATAAAACACGTTTATAATATATTCCTAACCTATTACTAGTCTATAACTATAAACTCTATAATAAAAGGCTCTTCTTCGTAATTAGGCTCTAAAGGAGAGAAAAGAAAAGCTAGAGGTAGATAAGGAAGAACTTGTATAGAAAAAGGTACTATTTAAATTATAAAAGGCACAGTTTAAACTTAAGAAAGAGATAGCTACTTTTTATATAAGGTAGGGTTCGTCTATAAATATAGTAACTAGTTCCTAACTAGTTCTTAATATATTCTAGTCTATTATATAAGTATATATAAGTAGATAAATATATACTCTTTCCTCTTCTCTTTCTTCTTCTTTTTTCTTATACTTTATAAGAACTTTTTATATTTACGACTTTAATATTATTTTACTATCTATCTTCCCTAATATTATTAGATATAACTAGTTAATATAGTCTATAAAGATCTTTTAAAGTTAGTATATAATAGAACGTGTTAGGAATATATTATAAACTTGTTCTAATACTAAGTAGGATTTATACTAGCGATATATTAAGCTTAAGTTACTTCTATCTAATACTAAGGTATTCTCTCCTATAATATCCTACCTAAATAATAGGTGTATAGTATTTCCTAGCAAGCTTTTCTACTAGGCTATTTAGGCTAGATTAGGGGTATAGGAACTTTGTAGAGTATGTATATATATAAGTTAGAACACGTTTATAATATATTAATAACTATTTTAGTATTGCTTCTCTAATAGAGGCAATCTTATCTACTACCTTAAGAGGTATTATCCTAAGGTTTAAATAGCCCTAGTAAACTATAGTAGAACTATAATACAAGGTATTATAGAAGTAAGGATCTTCTATAGGAGCTTAATAGTAAATACTTAAGAACGTGTTCTAAACACGTTAATAATATATTCTCTGCTAGTAGAGTAGACTACACTAAGTGCCTCCTCTAAGGTTTAAGAACCCTCTAAGATAGCTAGTCTATAATAAGAAGTAGTAGCTAGAGTAGAGGCTAAAGAGGAAGTAGAGAGTAAAGAAAAGGAGTAAATAGTTGCTCCCCTTTCGCCTACGTTCGACTGGCGTATGGTTAAGGAAGATCACAATAGC